GCAAGAGGCTCCAATATTTTCTATAGGGAATAGCACAATACCATTGATGTCAGTAAATATGCAATTGGCAATGCTTTACGGGTAACCGCAATCCATTTCTTTGACAGATGAATAACCAATTGAATGTTTTCTTGGATCCATACCAATTAAATATCATAGCAACATAATCAAAACAGAGCAGCTTCATGGCTGCATATTCAACACAGCACAAAGGAAGTTTTGGCAAACAACAACCCTGAATTCAAAACTGTAGATACTTACCTTACTTCTTCGTACCATTGTAATAGTAATGTTGTGTCAAGCACATGCATTCACCCCTTCCAGTTCTGATTCTGCTGGGGAACATTTGATTCAGTTGTTAGTTTTGTTTGGATCCAGATTTTAGCCAGGGATTTTGATGGGTAACTATCTAGAGAATTAATTGTCCTCTTCTATTTCCAGAAAGAACCATGATAAAGCACTGTTAGGAATCCATTGATCCATTATTTGGGTCTTCAAGGGATGGAAATGGATATTTTTTACGCAAATTCCTTACTAATAGAAAGACCACGTCTTCCTTGTCAGACCATAGAATGAATGATAGAGCCCTGCTTTGGCATCCAAAGGGAAATTCGTCATGAAAAATGGTCTGGATCACATGCAGGAAATGCAGTACCCGTAGGTCCAGTACTCCCCTGGTTACCTTTCTTGACTCACAGAAATACGCCATAGTCTTCACCTATCTCTCACTCACATGCATGTACACACATTTGTTTCTGCTTGTTCTGAAAACTGCAGGTTCAAAGGTGTTGTTTGGGTGTGTTGGGGCTTAGATCGCACCTCTGCCTCACACACAGACTTTGGGCAGCTTCATAGTTCTTTGCTATGCCACTCATGGCAGCCATTTGGGAGGACACCCAAGATGGTTTCTCAAACCACCAAATGTGCCTGTCAGGAACCTCCATTTTCTGTAAGGCTCCATTTGGCTAGGGTCAAGTAGTACCTGGTAATGCAACCCCTTTGCTGAGGCTTATCTTGAGATATCTCTAGCTCCAAGCTCAGAGTAAAACTCAGTTAACTGGGCTGAATAATCTCACCTGCATTTTGTGGGAATTGCCCCCTGCTAGCAGAAATCTTGTTGGAGTTATAAGGGGCTTGAACATTAAAAAGGACACCTATAGCCACCTTTCATCTTCATCTACATCTTTGGTCTTGCTTCCAGCTTTAAGCATCACATTTTGGGGTACAGTTCTGTTAAAGACCTATGCCTAGGTGTGTAGTGATAGGTGTAGGTAAGCCTGGACCCTTTCTCCTTAATTCTTCCAAGTGACCTGTATGGTCTGAGTTTCTCCTGGATCAGGCTGATGTGGATGTAAGGGATGGTCCGGTTTAGTGCCTGTCCCTGCAACCCACTTCCTCTTTTCACAATCTCCATGGCCCCAACCTATTGCCTAACCCTGGTCTATCTGTGATATTCAGAGGTATACTTCCTGTCTTTGTAGCTTTTCTAGAATACCAGAAGCTGGAGCCATTCCAACCCAGTCTTTACTGAACACTCAAGTTCTCTCTACACAATATAGGCCTGGTTAGTCAGCCATGCCAGTTCTTCTGGACCTTGAATGAGACACTTGTTTAACAGTACATTTGCTGTGATGAAATAAAGGCATACTCATCTTAGCCAGTAACCCTATGAAGGGTTGCCAGTTCAATCCCAATGAAGCAGCATCTTCCTTATAGACCTCTCCTCTCAACATGGGAAGGTTGGGGATAGAGTGGAAACGTGGGCTGCTTATTGTGCCTTACCAAGTCTGAGTCCAAACACTGCAGGCTGACTGCTTGCACTGGGCTCATGTCTCTACCATGGATTCCTGGAGAACCTCACATACATACTTTCCCCAAGAAGGCGGAGATGCATTCTCCATTTTTCCCCATGGAACAATGAACTCATTTTTTAAATCAGAAATTCACTGAAAACTTTGATGTGAACTTCCAAAGTGATTTGAGCTTCTGAGACATATAATTCTGAATGGTCTGACTTAGGCTTTTTAAAAACCATGCCAAACAGCCCCGAGTTTAAAAAATGGCGTTAACATTCCTTCTAAATGTTATGTTCAGAAGGAATGACATGTTATGAAATTTCAGATGTGATACTCAAGTGTAGTGCAGACTGGGAGTAGGGGTGACACAGCACTACACAGAAGGAAGCTAAGAAAAGGGCCTTATGGGAAAAATAGGGTTACGCCCCTGACAGTCTTCCCAAAGACTGCTTGGTAAGTCTTGCTAGTTGCTTGTAAAAGCCTTTTTATTATAATTTGAGGTGTTGCCTCCTTTTCATGGTCTTCCCCTTCCCCTTCCTTTCTTAGGTTTTGCTTGTTTTTTCCTTCCGTAGTACACAACACTAACGAGAATTCTATTCACTTGTTCCTTTTTCCTATTAATAGTTTGTGGTAATTTAACAATTACCATTACAAATTTCCCTGTTAAGTTCAGTGGGGCTTACTCCCACTAAATGTTCTTAGGATTGCAATTTCAGGGACCCCTGAATCCAATGCCACTTCATTCTGGGTAGACAAGTATGGACTTCCATTGTTTGTTGATGTGCGGATGATATGCAGTGCGAGCAACGCATTTTATTTCCAGCATCTTATGGAACTTGATACTTCTTTTCAGTTCTAGACATGCAGCTGTGAAACAGCGTGTTTTAGGCAGCATCTGTTTCAAAGAAGAATGCAGGCCAGGAAATACCACCTTTCAAAGGCCAGTTTGAACATAGCACATTCATCAACCGCCTAAACAGTGACAAGTGCACTTGGCATTTGGAAAAAAGAGGGGAACTGATCATCACAAATGCAAACGGTGAGGAATCTTTCAGCTTTCAAAGAGATGATCCTTGCTTTATGCAATCTTTTGTTGAGTTCCAAGGTACACATACTGTTGCTGAGCATGTGTCTTTACTGCTGCATCTAGGCTGGGGGACACGTTCCTGAAGGGGTGAACTCCAGAGGTAAGGGAGGATTCAGTATCTCCATCCAATGCCCTTCTGCCATTTATCATCCCCACACTGCTCTGTCTTTGCATGGCAGCATCCCATGCTCCTCCTGTGACTCCACTAGCTCCATGGCCAGTGGAACCAGCGGTGAGCACGGCCATTCCTGAAATATCTCTGGAAATGAGAACTTTTCATTTGCAAATAGGACAGATCAGCAGAACACCACTGCCCCACCCCATACCAGAAATGGGAATGGCCACTTGTTTCTGGTTCTTTCAGGAAGCAGTTATTCCTTTTGCACTAGAAATCCCTTCTACTAGCTTAGAGATAGAATATTGTCCTCAGCAGCTGAAACAGGATATCCCCTAATTCTGCAGAGGATGAAGTCTGTAAGACAGCTGCAATTTAATTATTCTATGTGTTAAGATTGTGCTTCTCTTTCCTGTTAGGTATTGTTCTTAGAGATATGGAAAGCTCTTGATAAAATTAGGTTTTAAAAATAATACAAATGGAGCACAAGCCCCCATTTAAAGATAGAGGTCAGCTGCCATGACGTGACATTTAGGTCTCAATCATCCTTAAATACTGCGGGAGAAATTATGCATCTTGTGGTTCCTTTGCAGATACATGGACCGTAAGCAGCAACAAAGAAGAGAAAGGAAATTTGATTATCCTTAAAAGGGGGACTTTCAATGTGGCCCACTAATGGATAACAGCCTCTCAAGGATGATTCTCTATTTCTCCATTCATGCATTCTGAAGTACACTTTATTTAAGCTGAATTGTATTATTATTATTATTATTATTATTATTATTATTATTATTATTTTACTATGAACTCTGAAAATATAGCCGCAAACCTTGCACGCTGCTTTCTAGAAAGTCTTTCCTGATGAGTTTATTGCTACATATTGTTACCAATTGGTACAATTTTATTCAAACCCTTTTGCAGAATTGTGTTACTTTGCTAACTGCCTTGTGTGTGCTTGTCCTGGAAAGATGGCTTCTCTATGTTGAAACAAACACAGTTCTAATCTGATGCAGAATAGGGAAAATCCTATTCCTTGGTGGGAGAGGAGTGTTGAAAGAGACATGCTGGATCAAGCCACAGATCCATTTAGTTCAGACTTCTGTGGGAAGCCCATATACCGGGCACTGTGCCTATATGTAGGAAGCCTCCCACCCTTGCTATCGGTACCTCCAGAAACCAGTGCTGAGCATCGCACTGCCTCTGATACAGGAGGTGATAGGTAGCCGGCATGACTGGTATCCATGGATGGCCTTATGCTCTACAAATTTGTCTAATCCCCTTTTAAAGCCATCCACATTGGTGGCCATCCCTACATTCTGTGGTGGTGAACCCCACAGTTTAACTATGTGCTGTGTGAGGATGCATTTCTTTTATTGCTCTGTTTATGTATTCAGCTTCATGAGGTGACCCCTGGGTTCTGCTGGTACATTCTCCTTGGTCTGTGCAACCACTTGCTAGATTGACTTGGCCAGGAAAGGAGTTCATCCATCCCAAGAGCAAATGAACTAAGGCTGAAATCTCATTACCAGGGGAGAAGCTCTCATTTAATCCAGTAGGGCTTATGTTTGAATGAGCATTTTAAGATTGTGCTACAGATGATGAAGGGCTCCTTTGAGCCCAAAGCACCAATTCTTACAGAAGACCCTGCTGTTTCTTTACACCAGCCTCCCCCAGCTTGGTGTCATCCAGATGCCTTAGATTACAAATCCTATCATCTCTTTCCAGACCATGCAAGTAAGGGATGAAGGCAGCTGTAGTCCAACACATCTGAAGGGCCATGTGGACCAGGGCAGTCTGCTTTACATGATTCATGGTCCAGCCTTGTATCCTTCCAAGACAGCCTCTGGTATGAAAGTTAATATGGCTATATCAGATCCATCCGTCAGTCCTGGTGTTAAAGATACAGAAGAAATATCCTTAGAAGAAGCATGCTCCAGGCGGTTCAGCCAGGCCTGTGAAATCCAGAAGTGTACGTGTGAGAGAGCAAGAGCAAGCTGCTTCATGAGGGCAGTTTTATTTAAAAAAAATATATAAAGTAAGCTTTTCCAGTTACAACAATTAAACATGCATCAAATTTGAATTCGGGGATAGGGGTGGGGGAGAGATACCAGAGTTATCAGAAGTTTAGAAAATACTGCACTGTATCAGCACAATACATAGCAGGTTAAAGGCTTTGTTTTGTTGAAAAAAATCTTCAAATAAGAAAGGCGACAAAAAGAAAGGTATGCATCTCCATAAAAATAAAATAAAATCCTGTTACAGATCATTAGTTTCCCTAATTTTAAACAGACTTTTAATTGCATAACTCATGAAGACTCTTTATCCATCAGTGCCTCAGCTGTTATCATCACAGCTGCTTCTGGAATTTATTTTAGGGTGCCAAACCAAACATTAATCTCTCAATCTACAAAGGTTTCTCATTTGGCTGGTGACGTATTTCTGACACTTCCATGGTTTCATTTATTCTGGATTTGGCAGTAAAGGATCATTGAAAACACCATACCAAGAATCTGGAAAAGAAAGATGTTTATGGTATTATTTGGCAGCTTGAGATATCCCCCACATACAGTCAATGTGCAGCAAGAACATTTTGTTTGCAAACTTTTTGGATTTACATACAAATGAAATCTGTTATGCTGAAGACCGTTTCCAAAGTAATTTTTGAAAGTCAGACTCTCAAAAAGTGGGATTTAAATTAAACCCATATATACCACCCTAGGGGAAACTTAAATTTATTCATAAAAGATGGATTGCTCTAACTGGTGAAGACATCTCCTTCTATGGAGTTCTTGTTGCTACTATCCAGTGTATATTTTCCCAGCAGCTAAGAAAGTTTCTGCAGACTTTTTTGTCAAAGCTAGAACTGTCTCAGACTGAAACTGTTCAGCAAAAGTGACTCATGAACTTATTATAACTTCTTACAAAACAATAATAAGAGTTTCTTCAACTTTTGTGCAACAGTTTTAAACATGCAGGCTTGTAGCTTTGGGTTTAGCTGCTCCTCTCACTGCTCTTTCAAATTGGCTAGTAATCAAAGCAAGTTTGAATTAATTAATTCAGGTGTGTGCTTGCACTGAGTGCTACTTCTCAGCAAAGACTGGAAATAATTAATTTGTAAGCTACCAATGGTCCATGAAGAGCGACAAAGACAAGGAACTCTCTGAAAGGGTATGAATATTCTCTTCATAGCTACATGTATCTGAATGCCTGTAACCAATTGTGAAGGCAAAGGGTAGGTGAATCTATCCAAATTAAGAAAAAGCATGGATACAAGCAGTTACTAAGCTATGGGTGCCGTTCTAGGGTCCATAACATAGGCTTGCTGAATTGCAGTGCAAATCTAAATTGAAGTTTGAAGGCTCAAAGTGAAGAAAAAAATCTTCAAATACATAAAAATACATCAAAAACACTTCAGACTGAAGTTATGTATGACTAGCAGCCATAGAACTGTCCACGGAGCCAGTTTCTTACAAACAATTAGCGGTAGAGTTAGGGTGATCTCTCATGCATCTCTAGAAAAGAGGGCAGAATTTAGCACATGCTAAATTATATGTATAAAAGCAGCACTAAAAATATTCCTATTTCAATAGAAATGCAATACACCCCAGTGGGGGAGACTGTGGCTTGGAGAGATGCCTACTCAGTCTCCTGTCCATGTGCTAGCTCCTGGTGGGCGGCTATAAGACTCCTGGGCTCTCACTTCTCATTTATCTTTGGACCAGGCATGCAGAAGGCACACTCTCAGACATGGGCTGCCTCAGGTTGCCAGTGCTCTATGCTCAGATGCCAGGGAGGAGGGCTCATCGGCCTCCACAATATCTCTGTCAGGACTAATAGGCATGTCTCTGCTCATTCACTGGTCTACGCTAAAGCAACCACATTTGAACAGGCACAATGCAATTGTCTAAAACCTAAATGTCAATTAGCTCTTGCAAGAATATAACTCTTCACAGGGTAAAAAGGATAAAAATGGGACTTCCATCCTTAGCTCTTTAGAGAAAAGATGAAGGACAAATGTCAAGAATAGTATACCTACCTCAATGAATGCCAGTCCAAATGCTACTCCCATAACTATGATCATATTTTTCTTAATCAGCTCAAGTATTACTTCACTGCAAGGCTGAAAGACAACAGGGAAAAAGACAGAAAGAATAAAATTAATACAACAAATGCATTTGTTGGTGTTTCATTATCAGTAATGCATAGACTTCTAACATGAACACTGAGTAAGAATTAATGAAACTTTTGGAACCCCTTCTCTGGCCCTGTGACAAATGTTATGCAAAGCAGCACTCTGTGAAAATTTGTCATTTTAAAGGGTTAGTTCAAAGTGGTCTCCCTCTCTCCTTCCCTCTCTTTCTGGATGGGAGAGTGGTTTATTTCCTTTTTATATCCTACTTCTCTTTCATAGCAGAGTCCAAAGCAGGATGCAGAATCTTCCCAGGGAGTCTCCCAGACCAACACCATTTTAGCTTCAGCAAAGTGACACAAAGTGCCTTCAGACCATGCCCTGCGTAGTTCCTGGTTTCATCTGGGTTATTTTTTAATTTATTTGTTATTCTTTTTTTTTTAAGAGTAAACCACCTTGAAACTGAAGAATATAAATGCTTCCTGATGAACAAACAACAAGGGTAAGTTACTTAGTGCTCTATCAGAAAGATACAAGAGGATCAAACATATAAAATTAACCTGTGTCAGGAAGACCAGTATTTGTAAAGATAAGCCTGGTGGCAAACATTTTGACACCAGATGTCTTAAAGGGAAGTATAGGTCAAGATAATTATGTACAAAAAGTAACTGTTTTCTGCTCTGACATGTTCTGTTGCTGATCATCATAAAAAGCTAAACATATAAATTAGCTGTGCCTCATGACTGTGACAGCTGGTCCCAACTGGAGATGGGCTCACTCTTTATTGTTAGTGTGCACACACAATAAAGAGCTTTTTAGATATAGAACTATTTTCTGGTGTTTCCTGTCTGTCTTCCAATCAGACAATGAACAAGAGGGACCTTTTTGTCCTCACCAAAATCATTTTGATTTAAGAGGCAGTGTGCAAATTAAATAAATAGTAGTAGTACTACTAGCAGGAACTGCTTCCTTTGGACCTGAGATTGACCTAGACTATCCTACAAGATTCTGTCTTGTTCCAGGTATTCTTCAGTATCTGCATGGAGCCACTGGGAAAGGTGATTGACAAGTCTGGAATGAAGTGCCATCAATACTGAAGTGACACTTAGCCTTGCTGCTTTTTATCTCATAGCACTAAGGAAATGGCTGGTATTCCTGACTGCTGCCCAGAATCAGTAACAACTTAGATAAGATTGTACAGGTCAAGACTAAATCCAGACAAGGCTGAAATATGTTCTCCTCCTTGCAGGCAGGGGGGACTGAAGCACTGCCTGGATTTGGGGGGAGATGATGGAGGTGGGATCTTGTGCATCCCCTCCCTGCAAACATCACCCAGGGCTGCTCTGAGGACGGACTTCTGTCTCTATGTGTCAACCAGCCAGGAAAAAACTACTCTGGCTATGAGGTTAGAAAGAGTCCCTCTGAAGGTAGAGTTCTCACTTCAACATTGGAAGGCTTTTCCAAGGTTGCGGTGAGAACTGCATCTTTTCCTATGGCTAGCCATAAGGTTGTGCTCTTGATATTGTTATAATATGCTAATTAAGTTACAGGGATTTAGACCATAGGCATGTGATGAAGAGACACTGTGTTGTATCCAATGTTAGTCTAACTTAATACCTACATATTTCAATGACTCCTCTGCTTTAGGTAGGAAGTAGCCTTGATACAACCCAATGAGCTTTACTTCAAAGTTAAAGCTACTATTGTTTCATTCATATTTATTTGGATGCAAACATGTTTCATTTTATAGCAGATAAACATTTCCCCAAAGATTTATTTTTTTTCTTGCCTGAAAAAGTACTCTTATTTTAAGAATCAGCAACGTTGCTAGCTTAGTTCACTTCCCTAATTTAAAAAAAAGATGTTATAATGTCCATTTTCCTACCATCATCCTGGTTTTAACCGTCACATAATAGCTCAATAGTCTATGCACAGAGTCTTTCCTCTGATCAGTAGCTCACTGGACACAGCACTAGAGAAATCTCTCTCTGCAGTTTTTCCCCATAGACTTGCAGCTTCCGGAGATTCATGTTTTTCATCTTGCAAGATACAACCAGCTTCTTCTGAAATTTCCATTCAGGCCAAGAACTGGCTGTCAGGATTGCAGTACCTGCCTCAGCATCTGCACTCTAGAGCTGCCTTCTCTATACTGACTGAACCCTTTGTGACCACCCTTCTATACTTTTCAACAAGAGCACTTTCTGATAACATTTTCGCACTTGGCTACATACCTGGCCATTGGTCTATAATTGAGAGCTGATGAAAGTAAATAAAATATCAGTAAAGGACATATTGTAGCCTATGCTTTTTAAATTCCATCTGCCAGTAATCAAACAATGGGGCGCAGCTATAAACATTTGAAGACCTATAGCTGCATACTTAATAAGGGCAACAGTTACTGCTGACTTTTGACACATGACTCTTTTATCTTTGTTTTTGGTTCAGTTTTTGACTCAGAAACTCTGAATTAAAACAAAAATGAAAAGATGCCGACTCCCAGTCAGTGCAGCTTTTCACATTTAAATCACTAATCAAATAGTTTTTTTCGAACATAACAATATTTTTACTTATAAATGTGTGCCATATTTATATAACTTTACCTCAGAATGCACAGTTTTTCCATGCATTCCAAGAGTAATATGTGCTCTTACCCATCTCCACACATACCAAATTACTATGAGCTCTCTAGGTGAGAGAAGATGACAAGAGTTTAGAAAAGGAAATAGAGCAAACCTGTATCCATGTGTGATTTGCTTGCATTTCAAGCAATGCCTTGCTCAGTAACCCCTCTGCAGAAAATATGAAATGCGGTAATATTTTTCTTACCGTCTTATATTGAGAACCTTTACAGAAATCTGTCCCTTGGTCTTGCTTTTCGCATGCACAGCCTTGATATTCCTGTTTATTATTTCCCCAGTCTTCTACACCATTCAAAACACCACAACATTTGTTCTGTAAGAGAGGACAGAATCAAAAACATGACAGAGAAAATTGCTAAAGAGAAAAATAGAGTAAGATGATGAACATATCAGAGGGCTGGACTTTTGAGAAAGCAAACAGTGCAAAGAAGGATGCATACACTGAAGAGGGAAACTAGGAACAAAATGCATGAATAACATCAGCACCCAAACTGAATGACTGTTTATCACCCTTTTGCAGTTAAACAATATTCACTAGAAGAAATTTCAGTGGGAAAAAGAACTAAATTCAACATATCCACATGAATTGTCTAGAAAATCAGATATCTTGGAATAATAAGTATCCCTAACTTGTGTAATTCACATTATTTGCAAGGAAAAAATGTTGTCTACTAGACACATTTTTGCCCAAGGTGGATTATTTGGGGATTTATTTGGTGTGGGAAAGTGTGGAATTTAGCTTAATTGGAAAAATTGACCCAGCAAGTTAGGTATCTACGCGTAAAAGAACATCCAGGTATTGATACGTTTGAGCATACACAGTCAAAATTTATCAACTTTGTTGAACAAGAAGAAGATGGACTCCAGTCTGTTGTGGTGACACATGGCAAACTGTCTGGTCAGTGCTGGGTGCCAGGTACGGTAGTAGCTCCATTGCCTCGCCTCACTCCTGCTATTCAAGGCTTGCAACTGTACTGTACCCGTGGAAGCTCTGGACACCTAGAAAGCATTTGCTTTTAAAGCAATTCATATAATGTATGTGCCCCCCTCCCCGCCCAGACTTATTTAGGTTGCTTAGTATGTCCTCCCATTTCCTGCCATGGAAGCTCTTTTTTAGTTTTGCAGTCTCTCAATACTTGCTGAAAGAGGTGACTTAAGTCAAAGTTGCCTCTTCTCACAGTATATGCTGTGCTCAGGCTTAGAAAAAGATTCCCCAGTGGCACCAGAGAGAGGTTTCTTTCTGCTCCTGACTGAAGCACTGTGTGTTGGAGGAGGTGCTGTTTACCAAGACTGCAGCTTGGGGAAGAAGGTTTAAACCATCTCTTCAAACACACTGAGGTAGCAGTTACTATAAGCTAGCCAGCCTTGTATGCACCTGGTATTTATTTGAAAAAACAGTTGAGGGTAAGCATGTGCCCTCTTTTATGGAGGATAATCCTTTGTTTCAGGGGCTGCTTGAGTGCAGTCTTCTATTCAGAGATTTCTATTCATCCATTTCAGAAGGGCTCTCCAGTTTAAAGATCAAGAAACATAAGACATGGTGCCTATATCTGTTAGCACCTGAACTACAGGCTTAATTAGGTGGACCCACAGGCTACACAATCACAGTCTTTCACTTTAGGAGATGAACCACATTTCTATTCAATGTATAGCAATCATTTTATTTTTTTATCCATACACATATATTTATGTATATGTATGGATTTATGCTATTTAATATCTACATGAAACCGCTGGGAGAGGTCTTCGGGAGGTTGGGCTACGAAATCATCAGTACGCTGATGAAACCCAGCTCTACCTCTCTTTTTCAACTGATCCAGGTGAGGCAGTGGCTGTACTGAACCGGGCTGGATGAGGGCCAATAAACTGAAACTTAATCCAGACAAGACAGAAGTCCTGTTGGTGGGTGGATCGAGCTCCTGGGTAGGTGACTTGGGCCTTGCCCTGGATGGGGTTGCACTCCCTCTAAAGGACAGGGTCCGCAGCTTGGGAGTGCTCCTCGACCCGGAGCTGTCCTTGGAAGCCCAAGTGACTGCAGTGGCGAGGAACACTTTCCTTCAGCTTTGGCTAATCCATCAGCTGCGTCCCTACTTGGAGGAAGACTGCCTAGCAACAGTGACACACGCATTGGTTACTTCCCGGTTGGATTTCTGTAACGCGGTCTAAGTGGGGCTGCCCCTGAACACAGTCCGGATACTTCAGATGGTGCAAAATAGAGCAGCCAGGTTGCTGACGGGGACTGGGCGTTATTCTCATATAACCCCAGTCCTCTACCAGCTTCACTGGCTTCCCATTGAAGTCCAGGAGTGATTCAAGGTGCTGGTTATTACCTATAAAGCCCTTAATGGCTTGGGACCTGGATACCTGAAGGAATGCCTTCTTCCATATTTGCCCTCCTGCCCCTTGAGATCGGCAGCAGAGGCCCTCCTCCAGGAACCCTCCATGAAAGATATTAGGAGGCAAAGTACCCGGAGGAGGGCTTTCTCTGTGGTGGCGCCCTATCTATGGAATGCGCTCCCCAGAGAGGTCCGCCTGGCACCATCGTTATTTGTTTTTCGGTGCCAGGTTAAGACCTTTTTATTGCAGCAATATTTTAATAAGTTTTAATATTGTCTTTTCTATGTTTTTAACTGCAGCCAGTGTGAGTCGGGAATTTATTTATGTTATATTTTATGTTGTAAGCCGTCCTGAGGCTTTTTGCGACAGGACAGCATATAAATATTTTAAATAAATAAATAAATATTAAGATATCCTTTTAAAAAGAGACTGTCCTATTTTGACCTCTTTGGGGATACATTTATTCTGTTCCAGAAATTAATAAGCAGACACAGCATCACTGGAAAGCACAGCGCTGCAGCAAGTGGCAGTCATGCCCTTTGTTCGTCTCAGGCGTTTCTTGTATTCCTATTCACTGAGCTATGAAATTTTCCTTTAAATAAAAGGAAGCAGCACTGAAATGAATGGTTTGTTTAGTTAAAGTTAGAATACTGTGTTCTAAACGAACTCTTTTCCACTGGATAGAAAGTCACGCACTCACCTTTAAAACAAAGCAGAATTGAGATGTTTCAGGCACAACATAAGTAAGAAGCCAAGCCCTCAGTCTTGCCATAAGCTAAAGCAGATGCCTGATCCGAGCCATCACAGAGGGTGTGTTTGTGGGCCCATCAAAGCCAACTCAGCAGGTGCTTATTATTTTAGGCATTTCTTTAAGGTTCTTATTAAGCAGACAAACACGAACGTATGCTTTGCTCCTAACTCGGAGTTCAAGCCTTGTTTAAGATGCTTACATACAATCTGGCCATTTTCCTAAGAATTTCCACAATACCCCGCAATCAGAACCATTGCATTGGCTGGTTTGGTTGGGTAGCCAAGCCTTGCTTTGAGTTCACTGCAGATAAAGGCAGTGAACTTTGGGCTGCAGTTCAGGATGAGCCTTTGCTGCACTCAAGTTTCTAATACGGTAAGCTTAGCATGTTATCTCTTGTGTCAGGTATACTGAAGAAGCTTGGCCAGGTAGAAAATGGCTCCCTGCCACCTGCCCAAAAAAACCGTCACTCAAGATGGAAACTCTACAACTCTATGCTTTTGTCTTGGCTTGGTTGAGAATGGGATGGGATTCCTGATGCCCCAGTACACGCGCACACAGCCAAACTACCAGTTACGCTAATCACATAGTAGGTGACGGAAGCTTTTTAAAAAGTTTCTTTCCTTTTTTCACTCTGTCAGCATGCACAACCCAGCTTGTCTCAGGACCACTGCATCTTAGGAAGGGAACTTTCAACCTCTCCCCTTTTAGCTTCCTTCTAACTCTAAAGAAGTCTTTAAAATGAAAATTCTCCATGCCCTCTGAGAATGAGGGGACTTGTAGTCCAACATAACTGGAGTGGAGGGCAGGTTGGGGAAATCAGCTCTAGAAGTTTCCAAAGCACCTTCCGGGAAATAAGAGCACCAGCTTTCAAAGTCCTTAAAAACAAAACCCCCTCACAAACCCCTTAAGGACACCTCCCCCCCCCCCCATTCTATTGGCCCAGTCCTCTAAAACTGCAAAACTATATCTGAAAAGATGGGAACATCTAAAGTCTAGAAAAATCTCTTGAATAAACCACATTGTGTGGGGGTGGGTGGGGAAGAAACATAATAACCTTTCTGTGTTCCATTTCTACAACCTCAATGAGGTTGCCCAGTGCAGCATTTTTGGCAGAGAATGTTTGGATTATACTATTAAAGCAGAAAGAAAATCCTACCAGTTTTTCTTTTCTAAAATAGGGAAACTAGGAAGGAGCATTTTCTAAACACAGTTTTTCATTGTGAACTTCTGGAATAATGCAATTTTGAATGCAAGTAAAATTCTGATTTACCTCAATCTCAAATTTATGAAATTCCTCCCGAAACTGTTTATTGATGCCCGCAGAGCTCTGCAACAGTTTGATTTGTTCACTCAGGGCCTTTTTCATGGTGTCTTGTACCTGGAAAAGCAAGCAAAAGAAATCAGCATCTTTGATGCAACATATGGAACTGAGCCAGCAAGGCATGAAAAATGCAGTACCTGATTTTTATAGACTCCTCCCAAGACACCTGCTGCAATCTGAAGAAGCAGGATTATAAGAAGTCCAATGAAAAACTAATGGGAGGAAGAGAGAGAAAACAGAGAAAAATTAATCTGTGAAGGAACAGGCAAAATATATTACTATTACTGTGGCCATGAACAAATATTTGTATGACTGAAGTGCAGTCATTTGGAAAGCTACATTTCTTTTCATTCCATAGTTCTTGCTTTCAAAAAGATCAGAGAACTTCTTCTTGTGAATCTTTCGTAGTTGTGGAAAGGGGAGAATTCTGAATGCTGCAACTTCCCATGCAAGATGAAAAAATTCTATAGGCTAACAAACAATTCTCTGTGTATGCAGGTGCCATCACTGGGGTTGAAGGGGCTCCGGCAGCGTCTTGGGGATTCCATGTTTCCTGCACTTGTACTATGGCGTTCTGCAGCGCAGAGCCTTTTCCCATGTCACTTGTGCCACATAGCAGTGGACACGTGCCCAGAGACACACACATATTGCTTTCCTTCCAAGAAGCTGATGAACTGCTTCTTTCCAGTGACACATGACTGTGCACGTCACCAGCCTTGACGCTGTTGAGTCATTGACGGAGCTAGACCATAGGTATCAAATCGTGAACCAGAGGATTTAATGGATTGGAGCCACACTTCATAAAATAAAGAGTAGACCTACTGAAATCCCATTGATTTCAGTAGGTCAGTTCTCTGGAAAGGGTGGAGAATGAAGGATTATTGGAAGAAAACCATACTTTGATACCAACAAGCCACATACTTTTCTAGATCTTACTTGAATGTTTGGGGTCATCAAAACCAAGCAGAAAGGAATAAATAAAGAATACATTACTTTAATAAAGAAAGGGAACATTCCACATCACAGTTGGCTCAGCTACTTCAAGGTTACCATTGTGGTTTGCGTATGTCTATGATTTCAGTTGTTGTCAGAGCAAAGCTTCCAAAATAAATATAATTGCTAATTCTGAGCTCACTTCCCAGCTTGCTCTGTCGTACTGCTCTATCCTGTCCATGTGTTCAAATGTGCAGAAAAGAATTCACTGAGAGGGAAACAAGGTTACATGCACTGGCTCCGGCTAGCCCTCCATGCATTCAAGGGCCCCTATCTGTGCAGCACCTGTGATCAATTCCTTAGATAAATGGATGGTACAGACTGCACAGAGGGTAACCTGTGCAGGTTTGAGTGCATATGCATAAGTTGTGTCCAAATAGGGCCCTTAAACAGGGAGACGTCAGGTGTGAAGACAGAGGGAATGACCCCAATTCTTTTCCACGTGTGCTTTTCTAAAAGGGGCTCTAAAAATATCATTATAACACTTAGGCACAATTGCACTCTTTCTGTCTCTCAGTCTCCCAGGAGATTGGAAGCATGCAGGAAGAGGCTACTGCTAAATGGCTAGTAAAAAAACCCCTGTTTGCCTTGCGGACTTTCCTGCCAGTTCAACAGCAAATGTGAGTGGAAGCACTTGCTTGCATTTTGATTTCTGCCTGGTTCTTGTTCGGGATTGCCAGCAGGTCCTTCTGGGTACATCTATTAACTGAAGTATCTTTATTTGACTGTAGGCCTACCAAGCCATGCAGATAATTATTTTTGAACAATAGTAAGAATTAGAAGGCTGTTTTGGATCCAATACTGGTCAGCTGCAAACAAACAGAAGATACTAGCAGAATGGATTCCCCTCCCCACACGACCCGAGGGGCAGTCCCTGGGGAAGTTTCAGGACACATGAGCAGTACTGCAGGGGAGATGAAAGGATAGGAAAGTTCAATGCATTTGCAGACTTCCACTCACATTATGGTTCACCCCAACCCCTTGTCTGTATGCTTATAAATAGAATTGAAGAAGTACTCCCTTTCTCTTCTTTTTTAAACTGTTTTGCATGGAATGCTGCTCAAAATTATAAGTCAGTGCAAGGCAATTTACAATAAGGAAACTTTAAATGCAACAGGCTTTTGCTATATCATTACTGGCCATAAACTCAACCTTAAAAGTTCCCTGGTGTATGCAGTTATAAGAAATCTGCTGGTATACTAGGGCTATTCCATAGGTCAGTCTGGAAATATTGCATATGGAAATGTTTCTGGAGAGTCTCAAAAAATCAGAAATTCCATCTGATTGAAAGGTGCAAATTTTGTTGCACCTTTCCATCTCACGCTTTCTTCATTTATCAAAAAGTTCACATTGGCAAATATTGGAAATGTTTCCTTTTGCTTTGGAACATTTAAAGGCCTGTGGACAAAAATATCTCACTGCAAGTAATACCCCCAATCACCAGTCTGAACTTTGGTCTGGATGGCTTAGTGTACAAGGGTTAATACAGAAACCCTACCAGGAGGAGCATGCACTTGCTTTCCTTCATGGCACCACAGCAGCCCAGAAAACCAAGCACCATTATGATGGATCCCACAGCAATGAGGACGTCAACAGCGGAATACAGGCTGCTATCGATGTTGAATTGCTGTGAAGATGGAACACAAGACCACAAACAGACAACAAAGCAGTCAATAGGGATAGGAATATTCTTTTTGTTTGTTTGTTTCAAAGTTTTATTGTTTTCTACTCACTAAACAAATAATTATTCCAAAGACTTCAAACATACTGTATACGAAGTCTTATTAATCTCTACAAATGCTATGTATTTCAGCCCATATTAGAGTTCCAATTCTGTAGCCATTGATAGAAAAAGTCCCAAGTTTGGTAGTAAACTGTATCTTCTTAGGGATTGGAATATTCTGTTAAATGCACACACACACACACCTCTGAGATGTGATTAACAACTTAATCCACCAATCTGTTGTGGATGGAATCCATGGCAAGATGGAGGGGAAGAAAGTGCAGTTCTATCAACACCAAAGCCTATTCACATGACAGATCCACAGACAAGAACATGTCATGAGCAGAGAGCAGAAATGTGGTTGCTGCTACCATATCCATGGCCTCCACACCTTGACCTGGTTCACAGGACTCGAGGGTACTCAGCAAGCGCAATGGCTTCTTACCCGCCCTGCATGTGTCTGCTGGATTTACATCATTACCCCTCACAGTGATGACTTTTTGAGTTGTCTGAACTCGGTGTGGGTGAAGTGGCTAGCAAACCACCCAGAACCCATGGTTTGTTTTAGGGTTGCTGGATGGTTTGTTAACCACCCCAACTGCCCATCATTGCCTGGTTGCAATGACATCACAGTAGCACCAGTGAGGGGTAATCATGCAAATCCATCTGGCGCTTTCAGAGTGGTTAACAAGCCACCATGGTTTATTGACCACCCTGCAATCATGCGAAGTAGCCTTCTTTGAGTACAACTTTGAGTGGGATCAAGGGACCCCACTACCAGAAGGGGACAACCTATGTGCATAGGGTTGGTCCTACACAAAATGTATTATAACTGTCTGCTAATGAGCAGCGGTTCCAAGTGGGGCCAGTAGGCATGATCCTGCATGTCTCCATCCACATGTTCATATTCAGAGCAACATTGTGTGAACAGGGTCCAACAGAAGCAGGATCCCTTAGCAGGAACACACCATCTCAGAGCACAAAACTTTCCAACTAGGAATAGTGTCTATTTGACTTACATGAACCATTTATACCTTGAAAGTTTGATATAAATTTATGTTTCTAGGTGGCTAGCAGTCACCTAGTCAATAAATGTACAACAAAAGCAGAAAATAAGAAGCAAAGCACCCAAACAGGAAGCCCAGCTGTCCTTTCAAGTCAGATCAGGGGTGCTGCACCTCTTTTCACTGGAAGGCTACATTTCATTTCTTAGAGAACACATTCAGTGGTGAGTGGGGATAAAACACAAAAACTCAGCATATTTTGGCATAAAATTCTTCCTGCCAATAATTAAGCCCTAGAAGACACATGCTGCCCCTTTAGAATAGGGAAAAGCAGCACAAAAACTGGGAAGCCCCCAAATAACAAAGGGTTGGGGGAAAGGGATGGGGGCAGCGGAGGGGGTGTGGACATCTGGAAGAGAGCTAGATTGGGACCTGGGACCCAAGGTTCAGCCACCCTGAACTGGGGGGCGGGAGAATAAACACCAGCATTGCTTGAAGGAAAAAATAAAACCCTAGTATTAAAGCCCTTAACATCTAGGAAAACAGAAACCTTAGCAGGAGAACATGGCTACAGTACCATCACTGGTAGAGCTGAAGCAACAGTCCAGAGCTACAGTCCAGGATTTGGCTGAACATGAACATGTGCATCCAGCCTTTGTACTGAATCATTGTCATCACCATCATCCTCCACACTCTTTTCAGTGGGAACCAGGTAGGGATAGAGTGGACCCAATGAATAGAATGCCCAACATAATTTTGTCCCCCTCAAAGTTACACTCAACTCAACAGGATTCAAGTGCATAACTTTAAGAACTTAAGCCTGTAATCCTATGCACACATGTGAGGAGGTACCAGTGAATAAGGGTCATTTATTTCCAAATAACCATACATATTTGGTTGGATGTGTATGTACATTTTCAATCAACTCTAAAATACATTTCTTTTAGTTGAAATTGATTCAGGGAGTAAGCCAAGAGAAAGCTCATGCTATAAAAATAATGAGGTTTTATCACCACTTTAAAAGCATTCAGAAGCCCAACACATGGGCTCAAGCTTTGCTATTGCTCATATACCTTGATCCAGATAGGAAAAAATATAGCTATTATCTGAAACTAACTTTCTAAACTTAAAATGAGAAAAACTATTTCCTGCAAAATGTAACAAACTTTGGGATGGTATGTGTGCATGAGCCAAGTGCATAGTTTGAAATCAATAATACTAATATGTATAAAACACACTTACACCTTGAGCAGATTTGCTTACACGCAGCCATATGGAGACTCCTAGAATAATGCATCCACACACCTGGTTAGAAAAAGACATTGATCAGCACTCTAAAGGAACACATGACATTTTGCAAGAGATGCCTGCAAATTCATACACTTAAATAAGGTTGACATCATAATACCATATGATCCAACTGTGCTCATTTACTAGAAGCGTCTCTGTTTGCTGGTATCTGTTGCTGGCAAAATGCTGTCTTTACACACATTAGGCTGCATGTCCTAATATATATCCTGTATCTGTATCTTCTTTTGGTTTTGCTGCAGAACTGAGATCTGAGCATTCCACAAAGAGCATTTCATTTCCTGTTTTTCCACTGCATTACGTACCTTGCTAAGTAGCAGTATGGTGCAGCGTCATAACACAAAACTAGAGGTCATTCCATCATCTAAAGCTCCATAAATGACTGCAAGTAGCCGCCATACAACCTTATGTAAAAAAGCTCTTAGACACAACCTTTGGGTTCCTGCATTTTGCTGGACTACGATGTCCATCCTCCAGACAGCATTGCCATGGTTGGGGTTATCTGGAGTTGTGGCCCAACACTGTCTGGGGAGCTCAGTTGGGAAAAGGAGACTGAAGGCACAGTGCACTGCTCCTCTGCCTCTTCATCGCATGCATTCCGGTGACAGGTCAATCCCACATTATTTGGCATGCAAGAAGGATGTGGGCAAAAGGCTGCCACCGTGTGCAGTGCATGGCCAGGTATTCTCTTCTGCATGAGAGCAGAAGTGCTGCACAAACACACGTGCTTTCTAAGGCAGACAATGCAGGTGACTCAGTCTTGCCGAGTCTTCTCCTCCCATCTCCCTGCGTTACTCTACCAGCCTGCAGTGCTCCAGTTGCCTTCTGCTTCCTGATCATGAAGGGGAGACTGTTCTTTGATGCTCTGAGCTGTTGCAGGTCTTCTGCTGTGCACTGAAGTGCAGTATTTGGGAAGCTAACAGCACGTTGGAGATGTTAAAATGTGCTGTCTGGCATGAGAAGGATAAGAGGTGTTTCCAACCTCTGTCTCGCAACTGAAGAACATGCAAAACACACAAACAAAATTCCACAGGAAAAGGGAAATGTTTCCCCACTCCTTATTGAAATTATGATCAAATGCTTTCATATAAAATAAATGTGTGAACTCTATTCTATATTAATAGAATTGTTTTACTTTGAGAGTAGACTATCTAGAGAGAATACTTTGTTCCTTTCTTGGCACAAGACACAGGGAAGAGAAGGATGCATGCCTATGATTTCTGGGTTGGATTAATCATCAAATTAAAATGCCGACCAGCCAAAAGCCCTGCTCAGTGCAGTTCTTTGAGTGATAGAGTGCTACCTTTTATTGTGTTCCATTATAATTAGGAACACAGTGCCCATTTCCTCATCACATGGTAGGAAAGCAGCAAGCCCCTTTGTTTAAAACACTGGTAACCTGCCCAGGAGCATAATAGAATGGCAGGGCTCTCATTTGCATGGCAGATTTCAAGAGAGATTAGCAGGAGAAAGCAAGAGAAAGGGACCCCTTATCCTTACTCCTTTGTGGTGGTACTAGCATTGCTGAACAATTCAGGGCTGGCTCCTGGTTTTGGTGGACCCTGGCCAAGAGGACTGCAGTGAGCCTCCCTGGTCTTCACACAAGCACGTATTTTGCCACACGCACACAGCTTGTCTCTCCCTCTGGCTCCTTCTGGCAGAGGAGGCAATGAGCACTGAGCACAGTATTTCCTTAGAAAAACTGAAGGGAGGATGGAAAACTCCCCTGTAAATTCTTTTGTTCCTGCTCATTGTTTTCTTAATGGGATTAAGAAAACCACATAGTATTTACACTTGTAATATGCATAATATGTGTTTCCCCCTCCTCTCCCTCCCCAAAACACAAGAAAGTAGAAGTGTAATAAAAATATTAGAGTTAGATTAATGGAGGGAGCAAAAATAATAGAAAGTGAAGAGTGGATTTAGATAACAAGGAATAAGATTTTAAAGCGATTCAAAAGTTAACAGAAGAAACTCAGTCCTGATATGAAACTACCACCAAGACCTGAACCAAACTGGTCCTTAATTTTGTCATCCCATATACAGACAGTGGAAGGGAGCCCCAGAGGAGATGAAAGGTGCTGCCAAATTACCCTCCAGCAGCATCAGTATCCTTCGGAATCCTGGTGGCTAGTGTCTGCTATTTCCCTTCTCTCCATCATGTAGACTGATGGTGGAAAAGATGCCTAATAAGCTTCATGGCCGTGCAATGTCATCAAGCTGCCTCCCCATATAGCCCATGAAAGAGAACCCTACCTTTGTTCTACAGTAGAAGCGAACAACATGGGGCCTTCCAGATGTTTTGTCCTACAAGTCTTATCAGCCCTCGCCAGCATGAAAGGGGGTGAGAAGGGGTGAGAAGTCATCCTGCAGATGTTTTGGCTTACAAATTGCCCACCTCTGCCCTGTAGCAAGATGGAACCTTTAAAGGAGTTATCCATCGGGCTGAAGTGAAACCCCAAAATAGGTCCACCACCATGGAGCTCCACGATAGCTCCACTGGATGAAGAGCAGTCACCAGCCTCCCTTGATAATGGCAACAGCTGTGTTGGCAGCCTGGGCAACATGTTGCATCCTCCACAATTCTGAAGCCCTAGCTTCATTCCAGGGCACAGGGTGGGGGGAATATGGTCATGACCAATGAAATTACATTCTGAGAATGAGGACAGTCTTCTGGTCAGTTTTGTCCTTCTTCAGGGTTTAGCAGCTTCCCCAGGATCTCCCAGTCAATAAATATCTGAAGGAGGACTCTGGATACATACATCTCTAACACAGATGCTTATAATACTCCTTCAATGGACTGCCAATGCCCCTCTGTGGGGATCTGGATCAAAATCGTTACTGCATCCCATGAGTTCTTTGGCCAGGCTCCACAACATCTTGTCGTAATCTCATGGAATTCCCACAGCCACTCACAAGAGCAGCAAAGGTTATTGGGGAACAGGAGCTTGTGGTGGCAGAAAGCCAGGAGACATGGAAGGACGTACAGCAGCACACTGGCTCCGAGAGAGGCCTGCGTCCTCCACGTGACATGATAGCAGCTTAAGGGAGCAGGACAAGGTGCCTGCAACACCCAGTTCTGTCCTCGCACTGAGGGAAACAGTCAGGGACTGACCCTGCTGCTCCTTTCACACCAACCAGTACCTGCCACCTGAAACAACCATTCTTCTGAATGGTTTTGCCAGCCCTGAAAATGTTTATACAAGCATTTCAAATGCTCTACTTAACCTATATTTACTTCACAAGCTCTCAAGATTTAGTCTCCCTGAGAGGTAGCTATTTAACACAGGTATTTTCAAGCTAGCAAGAGGCCACAAATGGATTCTGTAACAGTATCCCTCTCTTTGTCTTGAACAGAAATTCTCCACCAAGCATTTCAGTGATGGGGACCTTCCTGTCTTCTCTGAAAACTCCACGTTATCAAAACTGATCCTCATTTTTAAAACAAGATCCAACTCCCAAAATGTTTTGCCAGAAACATTTGGATCATTTTTGAAGAGGGCAATGACAGAGTAGTGGAATACAGGGTAATAAAAACGAGCTGAAAGGGGGCTTGGAAATAGAAAGGCGCTCAAAGCGCAATTGCCCAAGTAACTGCTGGAAATTCAGCACATGTATGCACATATCTATATCTCCGTACCCTGCAGTCTATTTTGGTAAGAACCAATGAACACATTAGGAGGCAAACTTTTAATTATATCAGTACATTTTCAGCATTTGGATAAACCCACACATTATCCAGATTTTTACTAAATTATTCCCTGCATTATTCCCTGATGATTGTTGCCACATGTGTTTCTAACATTTATGCCCATATAAGGTGTCTGATTGCTACAATCCAGCAAAGACAAAGCTTGCACTGGAGCAGATTTCACTGTACATATCCCAAACTCAGCTGGAAACCAGGTATGTTGCAAAAGGAAAGCTGCATACAGTTGTCAGTGCTCAAGGTCCAACACTCAGAGCTGCCCCACTCTCTTCCCATACCAGTATTAAAAATAGTATTTTAATTGCACCCAAGTTCTTTGGAAGTCTAAGCTGTGTGTCTGATACAGCATGATGTACACCCACCAGAAAGCAAGGCAATCCTGTTAGTCTTCTGGACAGGTGATTGACATCTGACAGCCGAAAGGCTTCTGTATTGAATTACTGAAGCCAAATTTTGGTCACATTGATTTTAGTGGCCAAAATCCAAATTGCTGATTTAACCTGGTTTGGGGAATCTCACGGTTAGAATTCCATAAAATATTACATTTTTTGCTAAGCTACTGCTTCAGTGCCACTTGAATTTGCTCTGGTTCATGCAATGATCATTTCCAAATTCAGACTTACCCAAAACAAGAAGTTGAAGATGAACATAGTGTACTTCATGCAGCTACTCACACCAGCCATTTTCGTGTTTTAATCCAACAGCAGCAGGGACAGGCAAATGGAAGCAAAACCTCTTAGAAGACTGCCTCTCAAAATATCTATATTTCACAATCTTCAGGGAAACTCATAGACCACTTCCTTTACTTTGATTCCACAGAAGGAAGTCCTGAGGTAAAATGTTATTCTGCTGATTATGCAAGCCATTCATATCCTGTAGACAAATATTAACCAAGCTATTTAAAAAGTACCTGCTCAGGCCATCTCTGACTATGCCTGTTTTACGAACCAGCATTATCTACAGTTTTTCAGCTCTTGAGCCAAAGCCCTAAAAGTAAACATGCACAGAGGCATAGATATGACTGTAAGGGTGAGAAGAAGTATTGTAGACTGAAACTCCAATGAGCTCTACTATTAAATTCAGTGAATATGTTAAAGTTCATGTACCGGTTTTGAGATTTCCTGTCTTACATTCCATTTGGTTTGTTTGCAGAACTTCCTTCAGTTGAGTGGGACATTTAGTTTGCGTAATGGGATATTTGGTGTGTTCTCCAGAAAGAGAAAAGTCAAAAGCTAGAACGTATTGCTCTTGCCTCTGTTTCAGTATTTTTGTTCACTGTTCTCTAAATTACATCTGTTCTTATCCGCAAGCATTTGCAGTGTATATATCCCATTTTATCCCTTATTTTATAGTTCCAGAGCAGCAAAACAGACATTCTGCCGTCTTGGATACTGTCATAGCCCACTTAGAGCTATCTTTTTTTAGAGGAGCAGCTAGAGTTCCCAGGGACAAAGAAGCAGTCCATGCCAGAAGACAAGGAGGCACATGGACCCCCAGGGAAGATGGTCATGGGTCCATAGCCACAAATGGAAAGGAACACCACCCTGATACAGGAAATGAGCAACTCCTTAGCCCCCCAAGAGGCAGATCAGGGATCTGTGTGCAGGGAACTCTGGGACTTCTAGCCTATAAACTCCAGTCCTAGGGAGGGAAGATTACAGGAACAAAGTCTATTTCAACTCCTAGTATTCTGAGACCTTGCCAACATCAAAAGATCTTACATAGAGTAAACCTAAAGCAAAATGTGATAGTTATAGCTCACAGTCAAAACCACATGGGAGCGCATTGTGTATAGCTGGACTTACTTATTTAATAGATGTATATACAGCTGAACATATTTGAAACTATCTCAAGGATTATAATCTACATGAAAAAGCAGTTAATATAACACAAATTTCTAAATCATTAATAAAAACTGTTAATGGAATGTTAAGATCAATTGAAATTAATTAAACACGATAAACACAGACAGCCAGTGTGGAACACATTCAGTTAGGGAAGGCCTCATGAAAGAAAATTGGTGGCTGAAGCAGGCCATAGCAGGAGCCTCCCAAAAAACAGAGTATAGAGCATCCCGTAAGTTTTGTCCATCATGAAGAAGGTCCACTTCCTGGTTCCTGCAAGATGAAAGTCTGCAGATCACGGTACCACTTACAAGGCCTCCTCCACTGATCTTCATAGTTATGCAGATTTATATTGGGGAAGGAGATCCTCTGTGTTATATGCTTCTAGGCTGTTCAGGTGTTTATATGCTAACAGCAAGTCTTTGCATTTGACATGACAACAGAAAGGTTGTAAGTGCAGTTGCCTTGGTGCTGGTGTAATATGGGTTATACCAGCATCCACAGCACACTCCACTCAGCATCTAGGCTGCCGCCTTCTGTACCAGCTGCCACCACAAGACCAAGCAGAGTTACTCATACCATGGGCACATTTCTCGCCATGCAGCTGAACTTGGTCTCAGAAGGAATGTCTCAAGCTAGAGCAATATGGATTAGAATACAAAGTGCAGGAACATCCTGCAATAAAAACAGGCTTTTCTGGAAAGTAGGATGTACTGGTTGGATCGTCAGAAAGTTAGTGCGATAACAACAGAAGGAATGTACTAAATTAGAATATGGTGGGGGATTACCTAGTAATTAGTTAGCAGACTGGATCAGATAAACCCTCAGGAGCCATTGTCCCCTCTCTCTGATGTCATACAGGAGGGATGGAATCCAAGTACATTATAAAGAGAAAGAAAGTTTGGTGTACAACTGTACTTTCCCTGACAAGAGATTCTTCTAAGCAATAAGCTTGTAGTAAGAGCCCATGGCAGAAGTGGTCTCTTGAACGAATCCAAAGGAACTGGCTTCCTTTAACACCAAATGCTCAGGAGCTCCCATCACATTTCCCCTCTGTTCATTCACTGTATGAAGGGGAGGAGGAAGATTGTGTGAAATGTCAAAGGGGCTTTGCATACCGAAGCCATTTTGACACCTAGTGATCCCCTGGTCGCTTCCAACTCTGCTATTCTATATTCTATGTAAACAGACAGCAAGTGACCCAGATGAAGGAGGCAAACCAGTAGGCTCTTCCAGCTCCCCATAGGCACTTGTTCCATGAAAGCATGGGAAATATCTCATGGCAGAAGTACAGCATCTCAGGTCCTTGAGCCAAATCTGGCCCTCCTGAGGGCTTCAGATGACTATGCCCCCACCTCCCCAGGCAGTTTCCTGGTTTTGTGCAGTTCACCCCCACCCCCATCCCCCACTCACATTCTAAAAGATTGAAATGTTTCTCCTAAGTAAGACTTCAGGCTAAAAGCTTTAGCTGGTACTTGTGGCCTTCAGCCCCATCCACCACCGAGTCTCTCTTTTTGGCCCCTGGTCCAGAAAAGGTTCAACCCTCCTGAAATGATGTGCATACCAGAACTCAGAGGCTTGGAATACAAGCTCTCACAGCTCAGAAATAAATCCACAAGCCTCTTATATATGACAGTTTAAAACTCAAAACAAGGATATAATGGGGGGTGATTGCCAGTCAGTCTTTCACTTATTTATAAAACAAGAGTGTTGGGAAATAAGAGCAGGGAGAGCTCAATAGCTTCAGATGGTAACATCTGAGATGCTCAGAAATATATCAGAGACATGCTGTTCTCAGTCCCATCCAGTCCCATTCACTGGATCCAGAAATTAGCTTTTCTTGCATCACTCCACATTAAACTGTGCCATTGAGTATGCCCATGGTCCTATTCCACCACACATTCCATTGCCACTGGTAGGCAACAGAGGTAGCACCTGATAAAACAGTTGGCTGAAGTAAGCCTGGACAGAACTGTGGAGATGACCCTACGGACTCTGGGCTCAAATTCAGGACCACGGAGAGTGCTCCTGCAGCTAAGGTAACTGGTGGACTTTTAAGGCAAAGACCCTCTGGCAGTTCCACCTCCTCAGATCCTGTATTTAACCTTCAAGCAGTCTTTCATGTGGTTTCTTGCTTCTTCTGGGAAAATGAGGAACAGCTGGTTGGTGAATGCTGGCCATGACCCATGCTGGCTCTTGTAGGCCTTCAGAGACCCTTTCCTGCTGCCAATCCCCCCCCCCCCTTCACAAGTTTGCTCAGAATGTGAGCAGGGGTTGGGACATGACTTTGAGGTTTGGAAGGAGAAGCAGAAGCAATTGGGGAGAATCTTCCCCACGTTTGCCTTTTCTGCTTTGGGTTAAAATAAAAAGGACTCTTTTCTTTATCTTAAAAATTCTCTGGAAGGGTCTGAATATCTTCCATGGTGAGTCAGAGGGAAACTTGCCCATCAATAGGAAGGATAGAAATTTGTCTCTCTCACAGAAATCAAGGCCTCTGCTAAATGATTAACCAGAATTGTATCAAGTGTCATGTAAGAAACAATAGTATTTATTATAAGAGGCAAAGGTCGGCACTCCCCACAACTTCCACAATGCCGTTTCTGGGTCAGTTTCAACTGAATATATTTTTATTGTTTCTTCCCCAGCCAGTCATTGATTCTTGCTTTTTTAAAAATATACACACACCTTGTCATGTCATAGAACTGTTCACAAGAGGACATCATACCTCAGAATAGGAAAAGGTAGGAAAGAGAGCAGAGTTTGAAATCCAGACTGCCCTGCCCTGCTTCCCTCACAAGAAAACAGGCAGGGGTGTGGTGGTGGGGGAACTTTGCACTCGTATCTGTCCAAAAACTATCAAATGAAATTAGGGAAACAACTGAGAGAAAGAAAATATAAGACAGACAACTCAGCTTACAATCCCCAGTTTAAAAGTGGTCTGTTTTCTGGAACTGTGACTGGAAAAATTGTCAGGTGTAGGGTAGTGGTTACAGGGTTGTACTGGGACTCTGGATACATGGGTTCAAGTTCCAACCTGGCCATTAAGTTCACTGGGAGATTTTGAGCCGGTCACCAACTCTCAGTTAGAGTGGCTGTGGGGATAATATAGAGAGGAAAAAAGAGGATTATGCAAGACATCTTGGGTTCCTTGCAAGAAGGAAAAGGCTTTGATATAATAACAACAATAATGGTGGTGGTGGTGTCAGTACCAGCTGTATCTTCAGAACATATATGTCAAATCTCTTCTTACTTTTCTGTGCACAGGTCATCAGTAAGGAGCATATTAAATCTACCCTGATCCATGTGTTCCATAAAGTGCACCACACCAAGAAAGCACATAAAAATTACATAAAGATTCAGCCTTGTTATATGACTAGTCTTGGATCACTTTCGAATAATTTTCTTTGCAAATTATCATCAATAATTAGGGAATCAGTCCACTTTGGATCTTACAATGAAAGGGGTCTGGCTCTTTCACCCTTCCTACTTTGGCTTAAACCACAAATATCAACTCCCTCTCTTGAAGTTTGACATAGCCCTTTTCCTTCCAAAATGATGTCTTTTCCCACTTTGACTATGCTGGATTGGGGTTCAAAGTTTTTCTAGCAAGGTAGTGGTTCCCTCTATTCTGGGTGTGCTGGGAGAATAATTCAGATAAGTCTTCTCTAAAGTTCACATGTTACTTTCTCCTGACAGGTAGGTTTGGTGAGGCTGGGGTAAGCTCACCAACAAATACCCACCTGGGTATTGGTAGAGGCAGGGTGGTCAGTTTATGTGACACTAATACTGCCACTGCATTTGCAGGCCTGATTTAAGGTGTTGGTTTCAACCTTTCAATAGTTGGACCCAAGTTATTTGAAGGACCACCTCTTCCTGTATAGCCTGGC